ATTGACAATTCGAGCAGCATGTAAGCATCTTTAGCAAAAGAGGGTCATGCTAACAACCGAAAAATTTTTGTGAAAAAAATGACTGTTATTCAGAAATATTAGTAATGATAAACAAAAATACACATTCTACAGCGTCTTTATCAATACGCCTAGGGTATATGAAAAGTTATGAGAAAATTGTCCAAACATTTCAGAATCTTAAAGATAAATGTAGAGGGGCTCCCGTGAACGGGTAAATTACACAGGATCCTGTAAGATAATTCGTTTGTCAGCGGTTCCTAAAACCTGTTGGAGCATCTGGATGCTCTTCTTCGTAGCAGACATGGTGCCGCTCCTGGTGTTAAATAGCTGCGTCATTCTGCATACGGAACGAAAGAGGTCAGAAGGCTATCCCCTCATGACTCATCATGTTGATGGGAAAACTACAACGAATTTCACTTCTGTGACAAACAGACACAACTCACACGCAGATCTTAGGGATCTCGGGGTTAAGGGGATCAGCAAACATGCTTGTGGAAGTCACAGACAACACTTAGAGCGGTAGATCGACATTCTGAACCTGAAAGGGATGCTTATCCATATTACTGAAGATAGCACAGATGCAGAAGTCTTATTAAATGAGATGACAGCAAGTGACATGTTTTGTTGTGGCTAAATCAGGCTTTCTGCTAATGCGTCAAAGGAAAATCTTACTAATCCTGCAGGCAAAGCCTTGCGCCTTACGCCGTGCCTGAATCCGAAGAGTGTCAAGGAGACAAAGCGTGAAAGTGAATTCTCAAAACTGCAGGAGGTACAGGTACTAAAGACCTCACCTTCTGTACGACTTACGAAATCGAAAGACAAAAATCTGAGCTGTGCCACTGGTTCTGTTGACACTGCGCGATTAAAGTCTACTTATCTATAATCGATGATCAATGATACTTTATACATTTGCATCGCGCCAAGCAATTTATGCCTCAATGAATGGACAGCGATGTGCAGATACGGTGCTTTCGGCGACAATGGCCTTCGGCCCCAGCTGTCTGTCGGTGAGGGAGCGAAACCGTGGCGTCAACAACCAATGATAGGATCGATATTTGGTCCTCAAAGCACCCGTGGCTCTGGTTCCGACGGGTTTCGAGAAAACGGTCGGGTTTTTTTTTGTTGACAGGAAAAAAAGCCAGCTCACCATATGTCGCCGTATATTATGTTATGGAAAGCAGTCAGTTCTGTAGCCACGAAGAAGACGTCACGGTAGATGGGTAATCGACGACGTACCTGTTTTCGGTGCCGGTAGTAGTTGCTCTGGTAGCCAGTGACGAAGTCGCAGTGCTCGCACCTGTACTTGACGCCCGAGTGGTTGACCGACCGATGCCGGCCGAGCTTGCGGACCGATATGGTCTTGAACGAACACTCGGAGCACGAGAAGAGCGGCATGCCGGCGGCGGACGAGGTGGCTATGCTGGACAACGGAGAGGCCAAGGATGAGGTAGCGGTGGCCATCGTCGAGGCAAAGTTCCGGTAAGCGAGGTTTTCCGC